ATCCCAATCTGGCACTCTACGCTTTTCGTGGTAGAGGGCGTCGCAATCGTGGACGCTCGTCGCAGCAAAACGAACCTACTGCAAGGCAATATGAGAATTCAACAATCTATCATATTTGCCTCAAAAAGGGACATTCGGCGTCGGATTGTTGGCATCATATGAATGCCCAATACGTCCCACAGGTTCAGTCCCAACCCAGGGCATTGGCGGCAGCGTCAGATACCTCCCAAAACAACTGGTTTCTAGACTCAGGGGCTACTTCACACCTAACAAACTCGCTGGACAATCTGCATCTCTCCTCACCTTACAATGGGTCTGAAAATATCACTGTAGGAGATGGAAGATCCGTCAACATAACGAACTCAGGGGTTGGTCTGCTCCCGACCTCAACCCGTACGCTAAAACTCTCTAACATTCTCCATTCTCCTGAACTTCATTTTAATTTACTATCTATTTCAAAACTAACTCGAGATAACAATATCTCGATTACGTTTAATCCGTCTGGCTTTGTTTTGAAGGATCTGAAGACGCAGGAAACACTTCTTCAAGGACCCTGTAAGAACGGATTGTACCCCATTAAAACGATCTCAGACGAACCATCTCATGAGGCCTTAGCGGGCACTTCACATGATGCCAATATATGGCATCAGAGGCTGGGCCATCCCCATGAACGGAGTATGAAAACCATAGCTAACAGAACTGCTCATTTTAGTATAAACAAATTCTCTGTTTCTTGTTCTTCTTGCAAAGAATCTAAGAGTCACAAACTTGTTTTTGAAAAATCTTTAAATAATACAAATGCGATTCTTGATCTTGTTCATTCAGATGTTTGGGGACCGGCCCCAGTTACATCTAATCAAGGTTTTCGTTATTACGTATTATTTGTAGATGACTTTTCTAGATTTTCTTGGATATTTCCTATGCAAACCAAATATGAAGTGTTTACTATTTTTACTGTTTTTCGTGCTCAAATTGAGAAATATACGTCCAAATCCATTAAAATGATCAGGACCGATGGAGGAACGGAATATGTTAATCACAACTTCAAGCACTACCTACAGACCAATGGCATAGCGCATCAAATTTCCTGTCTGTATACGCCTGAACAGAATGGAGTATCTGAACGCAAGCACCGTCATATTATTGAAACAACTCGTACCTTACTTCACACAGCGGCGGTCCCATACTGTTACTGGCCGGAAGCAGTTCTTACATCCATCTACCTCATTAACAGAATGCCATCACAAATCACTAATCAGAAATCTCCGTTTGAACTTCTTCACCAAACCGCACCTAGATATGATCACCTTAGAACGTTCGGGTGCGAATGTTTCTACCTCCTTCCACCTCATACTCATCATAAATTGCAACCCAAATCCATATCAGTGATTTTCCTTGGGTACTCCGATACGTACAAGGGCTACAAGTGCCTCGATCCATCTACAAACAAAATCTACATTTCAAAACACACCGAATTTAACGAACATTCTTTTCCTTTTAAAACAGTGGCTCAAAAATCCAGTCCACCTGCCGCACCAACATTGCCTTTTCTGCTTCAACCGGCCCCTACTACCGCTAATACCAGCACTACAAACGCTTCTACTACTGTCACCAAAGAACCTCAACAACAAACACGTCAAACCCAATCTATTCAACATACTGTTGAGCCACTAGTTCTGGATACAGCTACCCAGCGCTCTACTGTCCCTACACACCATATGATTACCAGAGCCAAAACTGGCTCTCTTAAACCCAAATCTCGGTTAAATCTGCTACATATCCAACCTCCTCCAGAAACGGACAATACTCCAACTAATTACAATACTGCAGCCAAACATCTTGAATGGAGAACAGCCATGAACAATGAATTATATGCTTTACAGAAAAACGGGACATGGACGCTGGTCCAGCCACCACCCAACTCTTTAATACTTGGTTGCAAGTGGACTTACAGGATAAAGAAGCACGCGGATGGAACCATCGCAAAACACAAGGCGAGACTCGTAGCTCAAGGGAACAATCAAGAATATGGTCTTGACTACACAGAGACATTTAGCTCGGTGGCCAAGCTACCCACCATTCGAGTGCTTCTCACAGTGGCTCTTCACAATGACTGGACCGTTCACCAAATGGATGTGGCGAACGCCTTTTTACATGGCAATCTCACGGAAACTGTATACATGGCTCAACCTAAAGGCTTTGTGGATCCATCAAATCCCGATCACGTATGTTATCTTCACAAAGCCATATACGGCTTGAAACAAGCTCCAAGGCAATGGTACAACACGTTTACTTCCTATCTTGTCTCTATCGGTTTCTCACACAGCGCAGCCGATCCTTCTTTACTTCATTATAAACATGATACTATACAATTTTTTTTGTTAATGTATGTTGATGATATTCTTATCTCTGGAAATAATCCTAAAGAAATATCATCAATAATAGCTCGGTTAAGTCAGCAGTTCAGCATGAAGGATTTGGGCGTAGCTAACGATTTCTTAGGAATCAAGATCGACTACATTCAGCAATCCTGTTTCCTATCCCAGAAAAACTATGCTCAGTCATTACTACAGATTGCTCAGCTGACCGAATGTCACGCTCTCGCCAATCCCACATGCACAAAACTGCCTCAAAACTTTCCGAAAGATCCAGTATTGTTTGACCCTCACATGTATCGTAGGATAACAGGTTCTTTACAATACCTAACTCTGACTCGTCCAGACATCGCATACAGTGTCAATCAACTCTCGCAACATATGCATAATCCTCTTTCACAACACATATATCTACTCAAACGCCTTCTACGATATATCAAAAGTACGTTAGACTATGGATTACCTATTTCCAAATCTAACTTAGTCCTAAAATCTTTTTCAGATGCCGACTGGGCGGGTGATCCAGTTTCAAGAAGATCAACCACGGGCTACTGCTCTTTTCTCGGTAACACCATCATATCCTGGACAATCAAAAATCAGCACACGGTGGCTCAATCATTCACAGAGTCTGAATACAACGCATTAGCTGCACTAACCGCTGATGTCATTTGGATTCGCAATCTACTTCAAGACTTTGGCAATCCTCAAGATCAGCCAACCGACATGTTCTGTGACAACATGTCCGCGATTGCATTGGCCAATAATCCAATGTTTCACGCAAGAACTAAACATATAGAGATTGATCAAAAGTTTATTAGAGATTATATTAACACCAAGAATATACGGCTTCTACCGATCAATACCATTGATCAAATAGCCGATATCTTTACTAAATCTCTATCTACACCAAGATTTACTACACTTAGAACCAAACTAACGGTCACTATTCACCCATTAGTTTGTCAGGGAATATTAGAACACTCACAAAATAATACATAAATAACTATGTAATATCACGGTTTAGCCAGCTCTGTATACGTGGCATGGTACCATTGGTCTTAGTCTTGTATAACTCTGTATCTGTCTCTATATAAACTGCATCTGTAAGTCCCTAAGGGAGGAATGAAATCATCAGCTTTACATTTCATCTTTCTACTTGTTTACTGAAACTCTAAGTTTCTTTAGTAACTCATTCTTGATAAATCTTGCCCAGTGGATCTCTTCGCGTACAAATCAGATGTCCCACCTTTAGTCTTCTTGGCAAGCTCTTCTTCACGAGTTGATGCTTTGCGGATGTGGTTCTTGGACGGTTCTGCTTCATGTGGCTTCCTTTTGGGATGCTTGATGTGATTTCCATTTAGGAGGGCATTCTTCTTGCTTTGCTTCTTAGATCTTTATCATAGTCTCTATTTGACTAATATTTTAAAAAAAAAAATTATGTTAGAAAGTTTATTTTTACAACAACTTCTAAAAAAATTATTTTATACACGCAATTGCCTAAGAACAACACAATTAAATGGCACATGTAATCCATTGTTGACATAATAGACAGTCAAAACCCTCTACCACAATTTCAATAGACAAATTTGAACTCTCAAAATTTTTAAAAGAAAAATTATGTTTTGAGTGAGCATTGCGGCACCAGGCGGCTCCGCTGTAGAGCTGGAAAGTTAAGTGTCGTGCGCTATATCAAATTAGTGATTTTTAAAATAATAAAATATCTCAATCCATTTATTAACCCTATTACACCAATCATCCCTCCCTTTCATTCTTGACTTGCCGAGTAGGGGAGAAGAGATGAAGAGGGGAGAAAAAGAAGAGAGAAAATTTTCTTATACAAAATTTTTTAAAATTTAAAATTTAAAAAAAAAATTACTAGAAAAATGTTTCATAAAATAATATGAATGCTCACCCAAATGAAGCTTTATTTTTCTTTTAATTAATTTATATTTTACTCAAAAAATTAAGCAAAAATAAATTTAAGCTATTTTTATCGTCACTTATTTGAATTGTCACTTGAGTAGACTATAATGAAACCTAGGGCTATATGATTTAGATCCTTAAAAACTATCATGATGATGGTACAAAGTGCAATTGTCAAATTCAACCATCCATTCCACTTCGATGGTTGAGATTTTATCAAATTTTTTCTGATGTGAAAGGTGATGGAAATATTTAAATCTACCATCCAGAATGAATTGTATTATTGAATTTCATAACCCATAATCATAGACCTCAATTTCAAGTTTTCAACGATAGAGATGGAAATTCAAGCATATTTATTATTATTTTTTAATTACATTTGAGTTATTTAAATAAATTTTAAATTCAAGACCTTCTGATTAGTAATTTTCAATCAACGAATCGAATGAGCTATGTAATTTTTAAGATTAAATTCTTTCGATATATAATTAATTAGTGAAGATGAAAAAGTTCAATCAAAATCAAGATTTATATGAAAATCTTCTTTGAAAGTATCTCAATAATTAAAAAAATTATTATTATTTAATTCATAATAAACATATTCTAAGATTTATCAGTAATTGCTCTAAATAAAAAAAAAACATTTTTTATAGATGACGATAGATCTGGTTCCACAAAACCATTAACTCGAACCATCAAAAGCAGATCTTGCGGTTCAGTTTTGCAAATAATACGTAATCACCATTTTCTAGGACCAACAGCTCAGGCCTCAGGATGAGCATGCAAGCATTTGGGTGGTGAAATGGGTGCGATGATCTGAAACATCTACACGTTTCAGTTATCATCTGAACAATTTTTTTTTTTTAGTTTTCTCTCTGTCAATCCCTCGATTCTTTTGGCTTCATTCCTCTCAAATCTTTCACTCTCCTCGTCTAGTCTGCCAATAAATTTGAATTGCTTCCATTTTTATTAATTCTTCATTAAGTGCGCACTTCTAACTTTTGTTCCGATTTTATCAATTCTTTCTTTGTTTGGCTTCGGGCGGGTCAATTGGAGCCGGAGATCGGCGAAAGCTTCGATCTTGCGGCAGTGGGGATGAGGTGGGAGAGCGTTCAGGTGGTGGCGAGGGCAAGGGAAACGCCAGAAGGTAAGAAATCGGCGGGTAGAACCGGCGGGATTTGGGGACCCGGCAAGCGCTGGGGTCACTCCTGCAACTCCGTCAAAGGCGGCAGATACATCTATGTCTTCGGCGGCTATGGTGGCGATACTTGCCAGACTAATGATGTGCACGTCTTCGACACCGGTGAGCAGAAATCCCTTCCGAGGTTTTTTTTTAATAATTCTTAAACCCTTCTTTTGTGTTTCATTTCAATTTATAGGGTGAATGTCGGTGATTTTCTGTTGTGATTTCTGGTTGAAGTGGCTGGGGTTTTGGAACATAGAGAAAGAATATTTTTTTTTGGTGTTGTGGAGTTGCTGCTTGGAGTTTGTTGGGTCAATTAACCATTATGAAACTTTCCTTAAGGAATTGTTTTGCCATTTGTGGGTTTTGTTATTAATGTTTGTAGTTCTTATAGGCAATCAGATTCATGGTTCGAAATTGGATTGCTAAGGCACTGGTCGCTTCAAAATTAATTTGGATTCATGCGGATTGAATTCTTGATATTGTCAGATAGAGTAAGAAAGTAAAATTTCACATGTTGGATTGGTCGCTTTGTGGATTGAATACAGTGAGAAGTGTGCAAAGGCCGTTGCTTTGACGCTCGGATGCAGCGTTAAAAGGATTCCCAGATCATGGATGGATGTGGGTAAAGAAGCTAGTCTATGAAACTAAAATTATGTTAGGATCGTGGAATGTAGGTTCACTTACAGATAGGTTAATGGAATTAATTGATATTATGATTTATAGGAAGATAAATATTCTATACATTCAGGAAACTAAATGGGTGAGAGAGAAGGTTAAGAATATTGATAGTTTAGAGTTTAAACTTTGGTATTATGCTAGGAGTTATACTAGAAATTGTGTAGGTGTGATTATAGATAAGAGTTTGAAAGATAATATTGTAAAAATTGATAGAATTGAAGATAAAATTATAGCTTTGAAGATTATAGTTGATGATAAAATTATTAATATTCTAAGTGCTTATGCTCCTCAAATAGGTTTGGATATGTTCTCAAAATTAAAATTTTGAATGGCTTTAAGAATTAATGTAAAAGATACCTCTTGAATAAAGAGTTTTTATTAGGGGAGATTTAAATGGATATGTTGGTAGAGAGGTAGATGATTTTAAAAATATTTATGATGGCTGTGAGTTTGGAGCGATTAATGAAAGTGGTAAGACTATATTATATTTTGTTATTGCTAATACCTTATTTAAGAAAATGAATGAGCATCTCATCAATTATAAGAATGGATATAGTAAAACTTTGATTATTTTATTGTAAGAAAAATAGATCGTTTAGATTGCAGAGATTGTAAAGTTATTTCGAGTGAAAGTTTATGTGTCAAACATTGCTTATTAGTTTTTAGACTTTAAGATGATTAGGCAAAATATGAAAAATATAGTATATCATTTTTCTAGGATTAAATGATGGTATTTAAAGAACTCTAATAATAATGTCTTTGAGAGTAAGATTCACGATCTTAAGATTTTGTCGGTGCATGTAGAAGCTAATATTTTTTGAAAAATAGTAGCTTGTAATATTAGAATGTTGCAAAGGATGTGTGCTTGGAGTATCAAAAGGAAAAGTTTATAATAGTAAAAATAGTTGATGGTTAAATCAAAATGTGTTAGAAAAAATAAAAAATAAGAAGCTCTAGTATAAAAATTGATTTAGATGTAAATTTCTTTTGAAAATTAGGAAAGATATAAAGTTGCTCATTATATATATATATATATATGCTAGCAAAAAAAAGATAGTAGTAAGGATTTAGTTCAAGTGAAGTGCATTAAGGATGAAGATAAAAAACTATTTTTTTAAAAGAAGATATTCAACAAAAGTGAATGAGATATTTTGCTAAGTTTTTCATTAAAGATTGTGAAAATACGATTGACTTTAGGGACCTTAACATTCTAAATAAAAATATAGATTTTTGTTTTTATAGGTGTATTACTAAAGCTGAAGTTAGAGAGGCTTTAACAAAAATGAAGTGTGAGAAAACTGTTGGACCTGATGATATTCCAATAGAGGTGTGAAAATGTTTAGAAGATGAAGGAATTTCTTCACTTACTAAATTTTTTAATATTATTTTGAAAGCTAAAAAGATGTCAGATGTGTGGAGAATGAGTGTGTTGATTCTTATCTTTAAGAATAAAGGTGATGCACACGATTGTGCAAATTTTAGAGGACTTAAGTTGATGTGTCATACTTTAAAACTATGGGAGAGAGTTATGGAGCATAGGTTACGATGTGATACTAATGTTTCTCAAAATCAATTTGGATTCATGCTGGGTAGGTCTACTATGGTAGGTCTACTATTAAGAGGTTTGATAGAAAGAGTATAGAGAGACAAAGGAAGATCTTCATATGATATTTATTGATTTAGAGAAATCATATTATAAGTTCCAAGAGAAGTGGTATGGAAAGTTCTAAAAAATAAAAGGATTAATAATACTTATATTCAAGTCATTAGGGATATGTATGCTGGAGCTGTTAATTGTGTTCAAACACAAGGTGGTTTGACCAAGTATTTTACAATTCCAGTTGGATTACATCAAGGATCAGCCTTAAGCCCATATCTTTTTGTTTTAGTCATGGATGTTCTTACTAGATATTTACAAGAGTATGTTCCTTGGTGTATACTTTTTTGCTGACGATATTCTTCTTGTTGATAAGACTAAAGAGGGAGTTAAAGTTAAACTTGAATTATGGAGGTCAACCTTAGAGTCTAAAGGTTTTCTTTCGAGTAGGTCTAAAATGAATACATGGAGTGTAATTTTAATAGTAATAGATCTAGTGGGGGTTTGTGACTTTGAGTGATCATGTCATTAATAAGAGTATACGTTTTAGATATATTGGGTCTATTATTTAGAGTGATGGTGAAATAGATGGGGATATTATTAGTAGAATTCAAGTTGGATGGATTAAGTTGAGGAATGCATTGGGCTTGTTGTGTCATAGAAAAGTACCACTCAAACTTAAGGGAAAATTCTATAAGTTGGTGGTTAAACCTGCGATGCTTTATGACGCAGAATGTTGGCCATTAAAATAGAAGCGTAATATTAAGTTAAGTGTTGCAGAGATGAGGATGCTCAGGTGGATGAGTGACTTTACTCTTAGAGACATGATACGAATTGAGCATATACGTGAAAAGGTTGGAGTAGCTCTAGTAACATAAGATTAGAGAGAGTCGCTTTAGATGGTTTGGTCACAAAAAACGGCGGCCTTTTGATAACCCGGTTATGAAAGTAGATGTATTAGATTTAACCTATGTTAAGAAAGGTAGCGGTAGACCTAAAAAGACTTAGTTAGAAAATATTAGAAATGACATTTTTTTATTAGATCTAAATGAGAATTTGAATCTTAATCGGACATGATGGAGAAAAAGGAGTCATGTAACTGACCCCGTGTAGTGGGATAAATGCTTGATGTTGTTTGCTAGGAGAGTTGATGTATTAGATTTAGCCTATGTTATAAAAGATAGAGGTAAAGCTAAACAGACTTGATTAGAAAGGATGAAAAATGATCTTTTTTATTAGATTTAAATGATAATTTGACATTTAATATGACACAATGAAGAAAAAAGATTCATGTAGCTGACCCTACGTAGTAGGGTAAAGTCTTATTGTTTTTGTTGTTATTATTGTTGTTGCTTGTTGTATATGTAATTTGGAACTAGGGTATCAAATGCTTTTTTTATTAAATATGTGAGTCACTTGTGTTGGGTAATTAAAATTTCACAACTAACACAAACAAGTAAGAAAAATTGCAATGGAAAAGAAAGAACCCCGAAATTTAATATGGAAAAACTCGAAATAATAAAAAAAACCATGAAGTCTCACCACACAAAAAAATTTACTAGGAAAATTGGGAGAAATTTTGTACATATCTCTTTTTTCTCAGTTTGTCCTTGTCTCTCTTTACTCTTGAACTGCTCTCACACAAGAACTAACAAAGAGATAACTAATTAAAACCACCAAGGGACAACTCTTCATGAAAAATAAGGAAGAAAATTGCCCGACTTCCCTCGTAGAGCCACGATGCCAGGTTTGGAGTGTCACGGCGCTCCACTTTATGTCTCTAGTCTGTGTGATAGCATCATACGACGGAGTTTGGAGCATTGTGTCACTCCGCTCTCTGTTTGCCTTAAACCAAACAATAAAGTGTCGCAACGCTTGGGTATACAGCGCCGTAGCGTTGTACCCGAACCCAAGCAGGGGGGACCCCATGCAACCCCCCTGGAGAGCTCAACCAATGGAAATGAGGTCCAAGACAACAGTTAGAGGTGTAAGTGAGTCAGGCCGACTCATGAGTAAGCTCGAGCTCAGCTAGATAAATGACTCGACTCATAAGCTCGTAAGTCACCTTGTTTAAAAAATATTAACATAAAATATACTTAAAATATATTATAATTCAGGATTTTAAATATAAATTTGTTAAAAATATTAAAAAATTATATCATGATTTCTTATATTAAGTATTTCTTTATTATTTTTCTTATAATTTCTCATTCTTTTTATCATTTTGTTACAATAATTGTTTAAATCATAATCATTTTCTTTTTTTCATAATAAAAGTGCCGGCTCGTGAGCGGCTCGGACTTGTAGAATAAAGCTTGAGCTCAAGCTCGAGCTCAAGCTCAATTAATTAATCAAGCTCAAGCTCAAGCCAGGGGTGACTTGAGCTCGACTCGACTCGTTTACACCCATAGCAGTAGTACAATCCGATTGATCGACACAATGAGATTCCACACAAAACTAACAACTTGTTCCTTCAATAATGATCTCCTTGGTAGCGTGACTAAGTTCTATGGTGGTTAAAACATAACATTAATGGCCCTCCATAGCTGTCCATCGATTTCCATGGTTTGGATAAAATTGATCTCACCAGGAGAAGCATGATTAGCATTTGTGGTCAGGAGAAGCATGATTAGCATTTGTGGTCAACTTTGAGAGTGACGAAGCTTGATAGAGTTGGTTTTAAAGAGGATGTCCTTCATAGTCTTAAAAGTGAACGTGAGGGCTAAAGGGGTTAATGGATGTCTTCTTTTGACCAACAAAGAGCTTGTCATGCCACCGGAGTTGTCGGCATTGAAGGAACATGTGATTCACACGTTCTAAAATACATGTGGTAATTTGAGTCTATGTAATGCAATCCACACTACATAAACATGTAATACCAATTTATTTTTAAATACATTTCGAAGGTCTTTTGGGTGGGAGAACTATTTAGTCTTGAATTTGTTAAACATAATGGATAAATCATTATTGTTGTCTGATTTTCTAATTTGTTAGTTGCCACATAACATTCTAGGCATCAGAACAACAAGCTTAATTCAATACTGAATGCAACAATTCATCAAGTGCTTATAATTTTTGTAAACTTGAGCCCAAAATACTTTAATACCCCTTTATCGTAATTAGCATTGCATTCTGAAGTTTTTTTGGAGTAAGCAGTTCTGCAAACTTTTGCAAGATTAGATTCTGCAAATTCTCCCCACTCTTTTTTATATTTTTCTATTTTTTTTAATGCAGTATTGTAACAGTAAAATGATGTGAGTACAAAATGGGCAATTAACAACAATTTCCAGAGTATACAGGAAATATAAAATAGTAAATACATACTGCAAGCAACGAAATGATGAAACATCCAATAGTAGGGGAAAACAACAAAGGAGACTAAAAGTTCAATTGGATCACCTTGCTTGAAGCATTGTGAAAGCTAAAAATGACGATATATTTTGAAGAAATTCCATGTTTTGTTTGAATTGTCTTCTATGAATAATAACTCTGAAAGCATTTGACCTTCCGTGAGACTATATCCATTTCTTGGAATGGGATATTCTGGAGAAGGAAACCCATCATATAATGTCACAGATCCAACACTTTTGAAGATTATTAGTAGAAATTCTATGATTATTTTCCCCCTAACTTACGACCTCATCTTGGAGGAAAAGCTCATACCATTAAAGGATTCTGCTTCTCAATTTGGCTTGTGTATTCTGCTTTAAAGCTACTGGAATTTCCCTTCCTTTTGCTTATGGTTCTGTTTTAATCTCCACTATTTTTCTTATATATTTTTATCTTTATGCGACAATAATTTTTTGTAGTTTTAATTATGTGCCACAGTTTTAACCTTGAGTGCTTGTTTTTTGTTCAATTTAATATTTTTTTTCTTAAATTCATTTGTATGTCAACAATATTCTGGATTTAGATTTAACATATTTCTTTTCTGACCTCTAAGTTTGTTCTCCAGGTTAGTTGTGCATAAAATTTCTTGCATTTTATCTTTTGCAGTTAAGCAGACATGGAGCAAACCAATGATGAAGGGTGATCCACCCTCTCCCAGGGACAGCCATAGTTGTACTACTGTTGGAAAAAAGCTGTTTGTGTTTGGTGGTACAGATGGAACTAATCCGCTCAATGATTTGCACATTTTGGATACTTGTATGTATATTTTCCTGAGGATATCAACTACACTTTACTATTTTTAGCTAGTAACCTCAAAGTATGTATTATTTCTTATTGACTGATCAGATGGTTGGGAAACAATTTCATGAATGTTAATCTAAGTTTTCCATGAAATATTCATCTAAATTTCGCTGCCATCCTTTATTCCCCATAGTATTATCTTTTACTTCGTAGATTAAAGGGCTTTTACTGTTTACTATTATTATTTGTTGACTGATCTGATTTTTGGGAAACAACTTCATGAAAGTGTTCATCTAAATTTCCACGCCATTTTTTATCCTAAGTCTTATAGTTGTTGCAAATTAGAGAACTTTTACTTTGTTGTTTGTTTTCTATACAAATTATAACTCGGTAGAACTAATGAAAGAGGAACTGATCAGATATGATTAAATTTCATTACTTTGTTTGCTGCAAATTATATTTGATCATTTTTTATAAACTTTTTTGTATACTATTGGCTTATCTTTGAAACCATTTCTACAGCCACCAATACATGGATGTCACCAATCTTGCATCAAAGGGGACCTGATGCACGTGAGGGGCACAGTGCTGCACTTGTAGACAAGAAACTTTTTGTTTTTGGAGGTTGTGGGAAATCCGGCAACAGTCATGAAGAAGTATATTATAATGATCTTTACATATTGGACACAGGCAAATTTTTCAACCTTTACTGACTTTTTCCTAGATTCCTGCAGGACTTTATTTTGTTCTTATAATTATGCTTTGGCTTATAGGTGATCGTGGATTGGAGCTGCCACAAGGCAGATCTTTGTTTGTGAACTCATCTTAAAAATAAGCTAAACAAATGATTATTTTCTTAACATATATGAGTGATAAGTCCTGGGAAAGAAATTAATGTGAAGAGCACTGAAAGCAAAATGGTAGACCGAAGGTAATTGACAACGATATATGCAAAATATTCATGCAAGCTTAAGTTAACATCTCGTGGAACACTTGGAGTGGATAGTGATGAGTTTATAAACTGCTAAGCTTATTATTGGAGATACTAAGATCTAGAGCTAGAAGCAAGGTAACCCCCCCTAGTAATTACATGATTGTTGGCTTTGAAAAGAATCATTAAGTTACAGCTATTGAGACTTGCTAATGTTCAACGAAAATTGAATTTCATAACAAGATTTGCTACGGTTTTGTTTAATTCTGGGGTTTGAGACATTCTAAATGCACAAACCCTCTAATTCATTAAGATATTCTGATTAGGATAACAATCTTAGTTAAGGTGGTCTCTTATAAACTTCTGTCACATGAGGCATATATATATATATTGATATCTCATCACATTACTTTATGCTTAGGGAATCAAAATGTTGATGGATAGTAAACAGTATTAAGATCTCATGATTTATCATCTAGGATTTTATGGGGTGAACACTAGTACAATGAATCAAGGAACTTTTTATTTCAGTATAGCTACAAGTCGAACCTTTTGCTATGACCATCGGATTTAGGTTTGGGGACCTTATCTATAATTATTTGCTCCAAGACAAATTTCATGTGAACTTTGGATTTGATTTAGCTGTTATTGTCGAGGACATTATTAGGAATAGTGAGTTTCTTCATCTCAGGTGGTCTCTCAAGGATTGTGGGTGACAATGGGCATTCATGGGGACTCTTTGGTTAGATTAGGGAGATCAATGATGCCTTGGCATATTTAGTGGTTTATTTGAAGTCTGTTAATGCCTCGATGCGCTTTTCGTTGTATAGGAAAACTCATGGGTCCTCTAGTACAATTTTTTATGCCTCGCCCATCATGGTGGCTTGTTGCTTTGTCACATTCTTGGGAGAGAGAAAACAGGTTACTTATCTATTAAGCTTTCCTGCTATTATCATTGATGATTGAGGTTAATGGATCAAGTGATCATATTCAAATTTTATGTACGTTCCCAAATTCTTCATCTTAATATTGTTTACTACTTGAACATTTTCTTCATAATCCCTCAAGTACAAGTTTTGATGTAATGGGCTTCCTTCAGATCACATGCATATAACAGTTTGGAGTATCAGATCTAATACTCAACGCATCACATGATATTTGAGGAAAAAAGGGTCATCATGGAAGAATGAACTTGCAATTCTTGCTCATTATTTGAAAATTCTAAGATTTCTGGGATGTTAAATAACCAGTGAAATCTGTTTGACAATGGCTTCACTAAATGTACCCACTGAGAAGATGATTAATATAAATATTTCTTTCTTATTTTGTTGTTTTACAGAAACATTAGTTTGGGAATGTGCCATAACATCCGGTATTCCACCTGTCCCTCGTGATAGTCATACATGCTCATCATGGAAGAATAAACTTATTGTACTTGGCGGTGAAGATGCATCTGATTGTTATCTTTCTGATGTTCATATGCTGGATGCAGGTACCAATTCTGCATTTGATGACCAAATTATTACTATTTCACCAATATGTAGCTTTACATTAAATTTTTTAATGAAATTAGTTGATCTTATTGTTTGGAGATATTTAAAGATGATTGTCCGTTCAATTTGAGACGATTTTTTTACCTCATCTTAAAGCAGATTTCTAATATAAAAATTAAAATTTTTGTATTAAAAACTGCTTTAAAAAGCAGTAAGAAAGCCATCCAAAACAAAGCCTCAGTTTCATGAAATTATTTCATCTTATCAGTTGGAGATATCCAGACATTATGGTGCTCTGTTCAAGCTGATTATGTGTGGTATATTTTGTGCAAGAAAACATGTCTTGATAAATATTTTTTCATAAACTCATTATTAGATATTATTGGTCCATATTGAATTGGAGAAAATAAAACCTTCCTTAATGACATCCTATTGTGTAAAAATGTTATTTTCTTGTTATAACAAGTTTAGGCTTGTCTGGGAATTATGTATTTCTTTGCATTTCTCCATAAAACTGCATACAATGCTACAATTCTTTGTTGTTTAGTTTTGTTTGGATTACTTGTTATATTAGTTGATGGATCTGATGTTTATGTAAACAGATACCCTTACATGGAGGCAAATAACTACTTCGGGTCAGATGCTCGCTCCTCGTGCAGGGCACACAACTGTTGCACTTGGAAGTAATTTATTTGTATTTGGTGGTTTCACGGATGCTAGGAACTTGTATGATGACCTCCATGTGTTAAATGTTGGTAAGTAGTTCTTCTTCTAGCAATTTTATCATTTGCTAGAAGACTTCGTATCATTTTACTGTTTGGCTCGTAAGTTTCTTATGAAAAATGAGTCTTGACCATGGGATGTTCCTTCACCCTTAGTTATTTTAAAAATTGTTACAGTATAAACTTAACCATGCAAGATCTGGTTGTAAGCCATTTCAGCTGGCCTCCTCACGCCAACAGGGGCAAAAAGAGAGATGTCTGGGAGGTTGGAGAGGGAGTAGTAGTAGTCATATTGTAGAGAGAGAGAGAGGGAGTAGTAGTAGTCATATTGTAGAGAGAGAGAGAGGGAGTAGTAGTAGTATTCATATTGAAGGCAAATCCGATTTTCTAAGCAATACCATCCAAGCCTAACTAAGGCTTCGTTTGGGACTGCTTTCGTACTGCTTTTTAAAACGGCGTTTTAGTACAAAAATTTAAAATTCAAGAAATTTTTGTACTAAAAAGCTGTTTTAGAAAGCAAGAAGGAAGCCGTCCCAAACGAAGCCTAAATCAATACTTTATATTTTTTTGAGTTTACAGAGAGTGGACCAAGTTTGATATCTCAAACTTGTGCAAGTTTTAACCAGATAGTGGATGGATAATGGATGGGCCAAGCACTATATTAGAAAAGTCACTTTGCCAGTATTTCTTAGGAAATTTAGAAACGTCTATGTGGAACTTTTTGTTTCTGCTTATAGAATTTTTATTCTAATATCGCTTGAGTTGTTAAGCAGAAACTGGTAAATGGAATAGAGTGACAAACATCAACAGAGGGCCCTCTGCACGTTTTTCAGGTGCTGGGGACTGCTTAGATGAGCAGAGGGGCATTCTTGTCTTCCTAGGAGGATGCAATAAATCACTTGAGGCCCTTGATGATATGTATTATTTATATACAGGTTTTTATTTGACGTTGCTTTGTCTTTCAGAATCCTGATTATCATTGTTGGGTATTGTTGCGTCCTGGAATATTCGCGGCCTATATATTTCTCTACCGCCGCGAATATTCCAGGACGCAACAGGTATTATAATCAATTTGACTGACCTTGTTCTTACCTATGGCGGGTTATGCTAGATATGATAGCGAATAATTGGCCATCGCAACCAAAGCAAGATTTATTGCATGGAAAAGAGTTGAAAATAAATTGCACAGATGGTAAAGTGGAGAAATCTAGTGGCACGACTTTAACTTCAGAGACATCTGGTGTGTCCCAACCCTTACATTTACATGAACATGGCGAAGCAGGTGTGTATTTTTCTTTAATGTTATGTGTAATGGTTTCTGAGGCTAAGTCATTGATTTACAAGGAAACACAAAAACATGTCTTCCTTTTTTATTAAGGAATTCTTTCTTTTGTGAGGCCATATTAACCATGGAAGGTTCTGACATGCATCATGAGTCAACTCATCAATTATTAGTCCAAAACATGCATTATCTCAACTTTGGTCAAACTTGGTTGAGGCCCAGTCAAGATACAAAAAAATTGGTCAGTTGGGATAAGAACAAGTTGAATCCTAATAGCATAGACGCACTTAGTGAAATGGATTAATATGGGTTCAATGTAAAACTACCTGGACCAAGGAACCTGACCCAAACCCCTGTGAACTCAGCCAAAACTAATTGGACAGAATTTCGTCCATGATTTTGATGATGCATGAAGTTTACTAGGCTTGGGAATGTACTGTTTTGGTTTGAACCACCTCTTGAGCCTAAAAGATTGCTGACCTTCCTCATATATCATACCATATTTGTCTCACATATCCTAAATGCAAGCATCTCGTCCCTTGGCTCCTTCATAAGTTCATGTGAAGGGGTGAGGAAAATTGAAAAGGGAGAAGGCAAAGGCAGGGCTATTGAAATCTTGTCATGACACTTGAGGTATAAAGGAGTTATCCTTAACTTCAGGCCTTCCTCTAAGGTCGGCGGTACTCCAATGCTCTCCTTTCTGGTATGGCAGAGATGCTCCTCGCCTAGGTGGTTCATACACCACCTATGTCTGCCTTCTTTAGCATTTAGACCCAAAACATAGGCTTGTTCTTCATACACCATCATGTTCGCCTTTTTTGGCTTAACCAAAATATTGTTGACTTCAATTCTTACTATCTCTTTTGTGGGGTTGATGTAGGATCACTTACAAATTTTTTCGTGGAACACAAACTAGGATAAAAAGTTGCCTCATGCTATAGGGGCTATGTGGAAGAATTGTTGTATTGTCCTGGACTCAAGGACACTAACATTTTACCACGGACAAACAACTTAAAGAGGAATTGAAAAAATGAACTAAAATAATATAAAAATAACAATACTTTGCCATTATTAGGAAAAAATGCTTTGTTGCTATCGAACTGTACAAAGACAATTTGTGTCAGTTAGGGTTGAATTTGAACCTATCGACACTTCTCCCCATTTATAAAGAATAAAAAAATGCTATGGTTTTTTTATTATTGTCCGGTCAATGGGTTGCTAAATGTGGACGACCAATTCAAACAATGCCCTCAAGTCTAAACAAATGTCCCTTAGGACAACCTTGTTGACATTAGGTTATAACCAATTGAATAGATATATATTCTCAAATGAGGTCCATGTCAATGTCCTATGAGTTTATGAGTTGAAGAGTCATTGGACGAGCCTCTTCAGATCTTTACAAAATTAAGATATGGATCTTGAAAACAAGCCTTTGAAGCATCTCAAAGCTAAATAGGGCCTTTTTTGCCTATTACATTGACCAATCTCCATCATGATAACCTAGCATAAATAAAAGTAATTAGTCTATGTGGCCATTGACCCCTATTATCATCGATCAGTAGCGAGTCTAGCTAGATCTCTAATATTTAATTCCGCATTGACTGTGGGATTTAATAAACTCTATCTAAGATTTATAAATATAGGGTCAAAGGATTATAATTTAATTGAATTTTGATTTTTAAAATTTATAATTTAGTGGGGTTATTAACCTTGTAAAAAATTTTGTGATGTCCATATTCTATAATAAAGTGCATTAAAGATGAAGATCAAAAAGTGCTTTTATTAGAAGAGGATTTTCAATATAGGTGGATGAAATATTTTGATAAGCTTTTCAGTAAAAATTGTGATAATACGATTGACTTTAGTGACCTTAACACCCTAAATGAAAATAGAGATTTTATTTTTATCATGTTAGTAAAATCAAAGTTAGAGAGACTTTAAAGTAAAATGAATTGTGAAGAAGTAGTTGAACTTGATGATATTCTAATAGAGGTGTGGAAATGCTTAGGAGATAAAGGAATTTCTTAACTTGCTAATTTTATTAATATTATTTTAAAAACTAAAAATATGCTAGATGAGTGGAGGAGTACATTGGTTACTATTTTTAAGAATAAATATGATACATAAGTGTGTGGGAATTGTAGAAGAATTAAGTTAATGTTTCATACATTTAAAACTATGGTAGAGAGTAAGTGAGCATAGATTATGACGTGATACTAATATTTCTGTCAATCAATTTGGATTCATAGTGGGTAGGTCTATTATAGAAGCTATACATTTATTGAGAGTTTTGATGGAGAAGTATAGAGAGAACAAGGAGGATCTACATATGATATTTATTGATTTAGAAAAAGCATATGATAAAGTTCCAAAAGTATTGCTTATATTCAAGTCATTAATGATATGTATGCAAGAGCTGTTACTTCTATTAAAACACAAGGTGATTTGATCAAATATTTTTCTATTTCAATTGGATTATAATATTATATCAACCATAAGCTTTAAGCCTATATCTTTTTTCTTTAGTCATGCATGTTCTTACGAGACATTAGCAAAAGGATGTATATAGTGTATGCTTTTTGCTGATGATATTCTTTTTGCTAATAAGATTAGAGAGGAAGTTGAAGGAAAACTTGAATTATGGAGGTCAACTTTAGAGTATAAAAGTTTTCATTTGAGTAGATCTAAAACTGATACAAGTGTAATTTTTGTAATAATAGATCTAGGGGGGATTGTGACTTTGGGGGTTCTGGTCATCGATTAAAAACGCATTCGAGGCGGACGCCTCGAGGCGCGCCTCGAATCGAGGTGGAGGTCGGGCGAACTGAGGCTTAAGCCTCGAACGTCCGGGCAAGGCTTACGCCTTTTTCCATGGAGGCGTACACCTCAATACGTGAGGCGCCGAGGCATATCGAGGCAGCGCCTCGAAAGGGAGAAAGTTACCTTCATAGCCAGCGAGCTAACGAGCTCCCGTTGTTTCTTCTTATCAAAATGTCGTAACTTATGATCCGACAGGAAGGGAAAGTCGTCGAAGGAGCGCAGTCGAACAGCCATAAAGGAGCCAAAGAAGCGACGGTGTAATCTCTACACCTATGAAACAACGAAGCAGAACAAGGACGAAAAGAGAAGATGAAAGGCAAACCCTAGACGCAGCTAAGTTATTATTGATTAACTTAATTAATGCTCGGTACCGAGCGGTACATGCTCGGCACTGTTAATTACTTTATTTTTATCATTTTTTAGGCTTACGCCTCTATCCGCCTCGAGGCTTACGCCTCGCCTCGCTTAGTCAAAACGCCTCGATTTCCGATTTCGCCTTTTAAAACGTTGGTTCTGGTCATTAAAAAGGGTACATGTTTTAGATACCCTGGGTCTATTGTTTAAAGTGATGGTGAAATAGATTGGGATATTATTAGTAGACTTCAAGTTGGATGATTGAAGTGGAGGAATGCATCAGACTTGTTGTGTGATAGAAAAGTACCTATCGAACTTAAGAGAAAATTCTATAAGAAGGTCGTGTGACCTGCAATGCTTCATTACGTAGAATGGTCATAAAAAGAGAAGCATAAATTAAGTGTAGTGTTGCATAGATGAGAATACTCAGGTGGATGAGTGGCTTTACTCCTAGAGACAGAATGCAAAACATCTATATATGTGAAAAGGTTGGAGTAGCTCCAATGGTAGATAAGATTAGAGAGAGTCACCTTAGATGGTTTGGTCATATAAAACATTGGTCTTTCGATGACATGGTTATGAGAGTAGATGTATTAGATCTGACCTATGTTAAGAAAGGTAGATGTAAACCTAAAAAAACTTGGTTAAAAAGTATTAGAAATAATTTTTTTATTAGATTTAAATGAGAATTTCACTCTTAATAGGACACTAGAGAAAAAGGATTCGTGTAGCCGACCCCATATAGTAGGATAAAGATTTGATGTTGTTGTTGCATGTTCTATAGGAGTTTGCCTATTGTGAGACTTTTTTTTTTTGCACTTTCACCTTGTTCCTTTAGTCTAAAGCTAGTCCTGTAGCTTGAAGCTCAAAAGGGTTTATGATTTGGTTTTAGAGTAGATGATGAAATGTACTGACATTGCATGTTTTCTTTTTTAGTATAGTGGGGAGGCTCCTCATATTATTTTCTAATCGAGAAAATAATCAAAATGATTCTTTAACTCTGTCTGAGGGATCAAAATGGTCCCCAACTCTTTTGAGGGATCAATTTGGTCCCTCAACTTTTTAAAATGGAGACATTTTTTATCCTAACATCAAATGTTGGAGTTAATGATGTTAAATGTAAGGGTATTTTGGTCATTTTTTAATTAAACATTTATTAAAAAAAAAAATTCAAGTAATTATAATTTTCTAAAAAGTTTCATCAAACATTTCTTTAATAAAAAAATTAATAATAATTTTAGTCATATTTTATTTTATAACTATTAGAAAGATTATAATTATTAAAAAATGAAATCACTTGTGAGAGGGAGGAGAGAGAGAGAGAGAGTTGGAAAATCAGCTTGTTGATATGGAAGTCAATTAATATATGTGATGACGATTAAAGGTGGACCAAAGAGGGCAAAATAGGCTAATTGGGCTACTAGGCTAGGTGTAAGGTATTGGTAGGTTTGTTTAATGCTCATATTCATGCATCCACATACACATAACACAATGTACATTACATAGCTTCAATATAAGGCCCAAAAACAAAAGAGATGGCCCTACTACATAAGACTAAAATTGCAATTGATTTATGAGAACCGACAACATGAGCCCATACAATAAAAGTGCTAAAGAAATAAAGAAAAATACAACCAAGCATGCCTTGGGTACATGAAATTTAAATGACGATGACTAAGATGCCTTGATTTCTTGGATGCTCCTAGTTAATTAGGAAATGAAAGTCAGATTTCCAAGTTGTCTCAAGTTGTTCAATGTATGATGGAGACTTGTTCATACAAGAAAAATTATGATAAGACTGAATGTATTCAAGTGTTTTTATCTTGATTTACATGCTAATCAGTCAACTACCAAGACCATAAACATGGTAGTGAAAAGTCTTGAGCCCTTATCCCGAATTGGGGTAGGAAGATTGACTGTTACAATTAAAATCCTTTAACCCACAAAGTACAAATTGTGGTGTTCGCCATTGATTCTTTGCTACCCAAAAACATGGTAAAATAAAGATATAATGTGGCTCCCTTGGTGATGAACTTCAAGAGGCATGATTGTTAAAGGTCATATTGTCGCCAATCTATTGCATGGCCGATCACATGATGAGCTAAAGAAGTGCAAATTGTGAACACTTTTGATGCCATGATATTGAGAAGAAAAGAATTGGATGTAAAATAAGAACATAAAAGATATAGGGGATGAGAATATTGAGAAGATTTGATGAATGAACACTTAACAGCATAGGAGACGAGATATAGAGAGGGAAAAAAGAGTCAAACTGCTAAGAGTGAGAGAGAGTGTCAATCATCAAAGAGGATGCTTGCGGAAAACGATTGTTTTATTCCATAATTAATTTTCCCCAATTATAGCCTATGGTATACTATTTATAATAGTAATAATTTTCTTTAGCAATCATAATTTAATCAATATGATATAAATGATTAGTTTACCTCTTTTAAATAATTAAATGATGATAGCATAACTATAACACATCAAATCTTATAGACTAAGCTGGCAAGCAAAGGGTTAGTTTGGGGTGGTTGTAGTTTCTTATAAAGTTGATTGTAAAGCTATTGTGCGGAAAATAATTTCCTTGAAAGCTATTGTGTTTTATGAATTTATTTTTTAAAAACTTGGATTATATCTTTCTTCTAGCTAGTATATATTATAGATCTTTCCCACCACCGAATTTTTTGGAAGTAGCAAGAAAACAATAACCAAATGTGTTATAACAGTTTGAAAAAAAAAAATAGTGAAAAAGCTGCCCCAAGCAAACCCGAAAACTTAATTGAAAGAAACTTATCACAGTTTATGCTGTGTTGTATGCTCAAAATTTAGCTGCACCTTAAATGCCTTGAATTTTAAAATTATCTTTCGTATGCTACTTTGAGCTAAACTTGTTGTAAACTATCATAAGAATTCTTCTAAAATAAATTTATTTATTTAGTCCTATCTGTAAGCCCAAATAATTTGGTCTAAAAATCAACAGATATTTTAGCCAGTTAGAGCATTTCATGAGTTTTTTGTAACTCAACTTACTGCATTTATCCAATATTGACTCCTCATGTTACCGCTCATATCCAACTACATATAACCTCAATTTCATAGATGTGAGTTGGCGGAGGGCTGATTCCATAAACAAGCTGCTACTGTAAAAGTCTGTCCTCCATCTCATGGACCGTAGATGCCAAGGGTCAAAAATATTCTGATGAAGCATTTGCATAACAGGATAGTTAACCACCTTGTAAGTATTATGTCAATATTCCAACATAATACCGATGATGTCCACTCTTAAATATTTCTTGGTCATCTCTGGGACCTTTTCCCTTGAACTCGAGCTGTTTAATATGGCTGACTTAGTTTAGTCCTGATTATTGAGACTAATACCTTCTTAAGAACTTGATTCGTGTGTTTCATAGCCAAACTAAGATGATGTTTTGTAAGAGTACTGTTTCCCCTTTTTTTCCTTGTTTTTAAACTATTTCAGTAGATCCGTCATGTTCATGTGAATTAAGATTATTCCTACAGTTAAGTAGATAACAGACTATTAAGTTTGGGCTGCTGTAGCTTTTTGTTAAAATAGAGGTAAGAGTTATAACAAGAATCAACTTTTTTGAAATTTGTCATGGGTATTATAATTTTTTTCCTTAAAATAGTGGGACAATAATTTTCTAAAAGCCACCACATTCTAGCAAATTTAGTTGTAAAAGGTGGTTTTTCATCACATAAAATTTTGAAAGATAATAAGAAAATAATAGCCAAATAAGAATGTGGCGGTACTCTGAAAAGCAAAGCAGCCCCAAATAGACCCTATGTGTCTCAAATAATTTTTTTACTCTCTTGAATTAGAAGTATACTCTGATTTATATTTATATATGTAACCAAGTTAATTGTACATAATCTTAGTAATTGGTGGTGTAACAATGCAGGGACCAAAACAAGTGGCTCCTATTCTGATGAGGAAATAGTATTTGAAGCTAAAGTTACAGGCGCACATCAACATGGATATGCGATTGAGACAACTATAAATGGAAAGTTACTTCGTGGCATGCTTTTCTCCTACACCTCGCGCTCTGGTGAAGATAGTCTTGCGTGCATGAACAAGTAAGGAGCTTCTCATTATGCCAGATTCTTCGAGTTTATGACTGACATTTTTTTATCTTCCATTTTATCTCATTGGTAACAGGAGGATGAGAGGAGAGGCTGATAGTAAATTGAACTCGAGTCTGCAAATATGTACTACTGCTACAGACATACCTCAGGAAATAAAGAAAGATCCAAAAGATATTGAAGGTGCAATCAGGAAAGAAGCGCCAGTTCAACCGTTTCATGAAAATCCTGATTCTAAATTGGCTGACCGGACCACAGAAGATGGAACTAAACCAGAAAATATGGTTAGTTTTTATAATTCTGTTCTATTTTCACATCTTTCATTTTCATGTCCCTTACTTGTTAGAAAAGTTTTGTACAAGATGAATTTAAATGATTTGAATCTATACATAGAAGAATAGATGCACCAATAATGCTGGTAGATTTTATTAATGTAGAAGACATTTGAATGAAAACAGGAATAGCTTGTCCCTTTCAGGTACATATATATTAGAATCTTGGGACTCCATCTACATCAGAGAAACGTGAAGAAAATGAATGAAATGCAAGCGATTTATAGGTTGATTATGAATCAACAGCCATTTATTTGAGATTTTCATTTCTTTTCACTCAAGTTCCTAGTATCCATCGAGCCTAAGCTTAAGAAAATGGAAAAGAACTGCAGATTGGAATAATACAGAACAAAATAATTTAGAGTACTAACTTTTACTATGTTCAAGCTCTTATTTGTATTTCTTTGCATCTTTTTCCCTTTTTTTTTTTTTTTGAAGATTCTTCCTATATTGAAAATAACATAAAGAAAAGTATATTTAACGCAACTCACCTTGGTTGGGCGGGAGTTTTGACTACTAACCAAGAGGTCTTGAGATTAAGACTCGTTTGGGACTGCTTTTTTACTGCTTCATAAAACAGCTTTTTAGTATAAAAATTTCAATTTTTGTACTAAAAAGTTGCTTTAAGAAGCAGTAAAAAAGCCGTTCCAAACGCCTAAGTCGTATGTATGTGATGTGTATGTGAGTTTATCTTAATTAAGTCTAAATGTTCCAAAAACAAGTATAATTATTGCAAAACGAAGCATTAGTGTATAACTACTTATGCTATTTTGTATGCCCAGGGAAAATCAGAGGCAGAATCTATCAAAAGTGAAGCCTCCGGTGCCTCATGTAAATTGAATGTGGAAAAGCTATGCCAAACTTCTGCAGCAAATGAAGCGGTAACATCCCATTCAGCCCAAGGTATAAGATCTTACTCATTAAATTTACTGATGCTTTGGTTGGACTGTTGCAGTCAGAAAGAGCAATATCAGACTGGAATTTTGTAGGAGGTGGAACATTCCATGAAAACTTACTTGAAAAAAGAATGAAATTTAAACGAAATGTTATAAGGGCTCATTTGGTTACTCCATTTCTTACTCCAGTCATATCATTCTCATCTTCATTCATTTTTTTTTTCTGCTGTAGCAGGTATAGTAGATGGTTCTGTTAATGGACAATCGAACATGGCAGCAGAAAAGAACATATAAACATTTACAGCATCTATGGAAACAACAATAGTAAAGGCTGTTTCTTAGGAAAATGGTTCACATTTAGATAGCCTTTACAAGTTGATAATAGCTCAGGCGATGACGCAAATCATCTAAATCTTCTGTTGAAAATATCAGTCGTGAAATGAAAGATGGAAGAATAAGATGAGGAGAGCATGTAAACATATTGGGCTAACAACAGTGAACGTTCTGATGAAAATGATCTATGTTTGAGGTAATATTCATCATTTAGCACAAGAGTTGCATAAAAATTCTTTGGCATATATCTCCACTAAGAGTGCTTTGGCTGTTTTTTTTTTTCTTGGGCCTTTTAATAATATGTTCAGCTCTCAGAAATTCATTTAAATTTTAATAAACTAATGTTTCATTTGAGCTAAGTTTGATTCGGTTTGAAATCAGCTTGATATACTTATAAATTATGATGAATTATTCTGTGCGGATGTCGAACGCCGTCCAAAGCCCAATGAAAATGTGTCATGTCATTCCCTACTCGGTACCGCGGCTCGGTATTACTCGGTACCAAGCTCGGTACTGGATGATGTGGTTGCACCTGATTCGCCTCTAGAAGGTATGCTATGTCAGGTGTCCGCACAGAATAATCTCTCATAAATTACATACTTGGAGCTGTAAAAACAATTTATTATTTGTGGATAGCTTGCCTTAGGCTCTCTCTCTCTCTCTCTCTTAGAATTTTATATTTAATTGGTTCATTAAGTAAATTAGATTGATTGAATATTTATTTTGATTTTTTTTTTAATGAGTCAAAGGTGAATACAATCTTGTTCAATTTGAGTTTGAATTTGATTGATAGATGAATATAAATTAGCTTGTGTTTATATTTAATTTGAAATATTTGTGAACACAAGCTAACAAATGAATATTGACTAAAGTTTGATCCATTTATAATTCAAACATAAAAACGTATATGTATATTTATTTATTTATATATTTATATTAAATGAAAAAATTGAAATATCTTTAGACAATTTTTTTAAAATTATTGAGTTTAGATTGATTTGCTTGAACTCTACTTGATAATACCCTTGTATGCGGCTTTCTAGTGATGAAAAATAATTGGATATTAGACATGTGATACTAAGAGACAAAGATCTAACTAAGCTGAGATTAAGGCTTTGTTTGGGACGGCTTTTTTACTGTAAGAAGTAGTAAGAAAGTCGTCCGAAATGAAGCCTAAATTATATAAGATATCCCAATCTGTTCAGACTCAGACTTGCACAAAACATCATGATCAAGTCCACCCAGCTGCAGATAAATCGGAAGCAAAAAAGTAATAAATATTCACCAAAATCATCATAAAATACGCTGTAATTTTTTGTAAAAGTGATTATAAAGTTACCATTGAAAAAGATACAATTTTTAAAGTTACTGTAAAAAATAGTTTTTTAGCACACAAATTTTTTGACAGCAATAAATAAATAATGATCAAATAGAAATTAAAAGAGAGCATATCTATTAAACTAGTCATGATCAACCACTCTTTTTTGTTCTAATACTCCAGCATAAAACTAGCATTAGATCGTGTGGGCTCCGAAAATTCGCGCCCCTATGGGCTCTCAATGGCCCTTCTCTTTTTAGGGTCGTCAAGAAGAGTTTTAACGAGTGAGTTCCGAGGAACATTTTTAGAAGACATTGGGTTTTAGATAAGACATTATCCAGATATTTCACCCTCATTTTGCAAGGACTTTATGATATGAGTTCATGTTTCCTATAAGCACAAGCCACTATAATTAATTACCCCTCCCGATAGCGAGAGAGAACTTTCAATTAAGACTGATCGACAAATAGATACATGATATTCACAGATACATAATATCTAATGTATAGTAGCAACAAGATTTGGTATTTAAAATTTTAATATTTAAAATTAAAAATTCATCACCTTGTACTTAAAGTAGGTGTTAGGGGGAATTATGATAGACTCGGTCAAGATCCCATAGTTATGTCGTCCCGGGTCATCATGATCCCTAGTTTACTTAGTCAGATCTCCTACAACGGTTCATAGGAGTTCATACGTACCAGCTCTTAGTTCTTGCTTGTGGGTTTATTAGATGAACATCACAAGTTACTTTAATTTCATTATTTATGAGTGAATTATCACTTGCATTGAAAGTTTGCTCGCCGTTATCTTATGTTCATTCATTGATGCTAGATTTTCATTATCACACACATTGTATTTTAATTTTAAACATTAGGCCATATTCCCTATGGTCCAACTTGTATGTTCAGTTCCCTACTAATTGTTAAAATCAATTCTCATGTCAATCAAAATTTCAACAACCTCTCGATGTCTCCCCTATTTAGAAAAAATTTAAGAAGTCTTAGCCTGCCCACCACTTAAAGAAAGACGTGCATGGTCTATGCCGGATGACACCGCAGCTGTAGCCTTCAATCCCACCACACCAAGAAAGACTTGCATGGGGTTTCAGTGGTAACAATTTGAAAATGCATAGTGTTTCCTCATAGACACCGAAGCTCGTACACGAGTACTTAGGTTTTACCCTACCACACTAAGAAAAGCGTGCACAATGCTTACCTACCTTACCTCAAGCACTACACCGAATTCCCTCCCAGCACGCTAAGAAAAAACACGCTTAAATAGTTTTATGTCGTGCCACAAGCGCCGAGAACCTGATTTAAATTTTAAGGTTTAGGAGAGTTATACCTTGATGACCAAAGCCACAACGGTGTTAGTGTTAAAGTGAAGACAACGATCACAAAACACAAATATTATCGCTCTATTTTTTTTTTTTTTTTCTTTCTTTTGCTTTTTCTCTTCTTTTTATATTTCTTTTCTTTTTAATAATAATAATAATTCTGTTATGGATCAACGATCCTGATTTGCTGAGCTACTCCACTAGTGATGTCATGCTCATTAGGGAGGAATAAGATTGAAGTACAAGTGAGGTCGGCTATTTAATGGGGTTGTGGATTCGGCCTGGTGTGGGGAAGAAACGGATGTTTCCGTCGGGTTGTGCTGGGTGCGAACGGCTGAGGAATTGGCTGCTGGAGTTGATCAGCTTGGAAGGAAGCAGGAATGGAGCTCGTGTGCGAGGAAATAAGCCAAGGCATGAGCTTATGAACGGAAGGAAGAAAGAACACGAGAGCTTCGTTTTCTCTCATTGGAGCTTCAATTCAAATGCGAGAGGCTTCCTCTTAGGTGAATTCGACATTCTAATGGCAACGACGCAATTCGTTTGGCGGTCGAAGGTCGAAGGTCGTTTGAACATTTAGGTAATGAGTCGCTCCTGCCGACCGTCGCTTAGGTCGCCAACTTCGCCTCTTTTACTTGCGCTGATTTAATGGATGTTTGAAGGTCAACTGATCAACAAGTTTTCAGAATCAAATCTCTGATATGAATGTATACTTACAAGACTAAGGTTGAGATGAAGCAGCTTCAGACTATTGATAGTTTTTCTTTCTATGAAGTTTTTTTTTTTTTATATAACTAAATAATATAGAGAAAAAAGTGCTATGGAAGCCCAACAGTCAATAAAGAAGCGAATCTAAATCTAAGGCGACCAACATGCACATCATACAAGCATTCAAACAGCCAAACCTTTCTGAACATAATCTGATCACACAAAGGAGTACATATTTGATGCAGGACTGAAACAATCATCAGAACAAGCACATATATGACTCCACTATTCAGCAATTTTCAAATATGTGCTAAGGTAAAGTAACTATATGAGCAATGAAAAGGAATGCCAAAGGCAAATCAAAATGCAACAAGATATTCTGATACAATTTGTGTTAGAATATGAAAGAGAATTTATGAATGCAAAAGACAAAATGATATTTTAACTTTCTGCTAGTTAAAAATTGTTACTTAAATATCTTCTATTTTTATGCCTTTGTCTTCTACTTGATCTTTTATTCCCTCTGCTCAAAAGATTCTAACATAATCTTTTTCTGAGAATAAAGTCTCATCAGAGTCCTTTAAGAATAGAAACATTTCCATTACAAATAAGTTACAAGTATGAAACTCATTAATGCTTCTCTAAACCAGATGAGCTTGTGTGAACCTGAAGAGTTCATCATGGAGCTTGAGCAATGAGAAGAGAAATACCTAAAAAAAAAGTATTTAATATGAAACTTCAGTCTGATCAGTTCAATTTTTTATGCAAATCTACATGTATAGCATCATATGAGCTAGTCTTACAGGTTGGATTACATGCTAGGATAATGGTTGGTTTTCAAGTTCTGTTTAGGAGGAATAATTGCTATCTCTACCAAGACCTTGTGGAGAGCTTGAGGCTTCGAAAAGAATGGAGAGTGATCTGAGCCTTTTAGGCGAAAAACCTTCTCAGGAGGGTTGGTTTCACACATGCTTTGTTGCAGGGAAAGTGGTAACGCATTGTCCTCAGTAGTCTCTATATAAAATCTCCTGACTGAACCATAGTTGTCTTCTGTAAGAACGAGTTTTTCCAGTACTGGTGCAAAAGGAATAGGTCTCATAGAAACTGATGCCAAAGAGAGATCCTACGTAAAATAAAAATAAAAGGAGGAAATCACTATTAAGGCAACAATAACATTGACTGAGGAAAAAATAAAAATAAAAATGGAGGTTTAATATTTTCATATTTTAAAGGTAATGATGCTATATAGAAGAAAATAGAATAACGCCAAAGTTTTTCTTGGCAAATTCTTTTTGTAGATAGTTTATTGTTACCGTTTAACAATTTGTCATCAATACATGTTGGAAAGTACAAGAATGAAAATAATATTATAGGAAAGTATTAATTAGTTGATTAACATTAGCCATGTTTCTAATTATATTTTAATATCATCATAATTAATGATATTCTCCTCTTTAATTCTTACCTCATTATTAATGATAATTCCCCCGAGCCCCCTAGCTCATGTGCTCATCTTCTATGTTCACTCGTTCTCACTCTCGCGTATCTTGCTTGCCCGTGAAACCAATGATGGTTCCCACCTTGCTATCTTGTTGTTCACGCTCACGTAACTACCAACTACGCCAATCTTGCCTCCCGGCCCAATGAGTGCTTAGGATTATCCTTGATGCCCGGCCTTGTCGTATCTCACATATGTCGTTCTCTTCCTACTTGAAGCATAATATTTTAGTCTTCACTCATCTCCATAATATGAGTTCCTCTTTAGATTTTTTAATGACGCTCCTTACAATGTAATGACTTCTCTCACTCAACTTACTAAGACACAACCTTCATCTACCATCGGCATCATCATCAAATTCAATAGTACTTAATATCTCTTGTGGTCAGGTTTTTCAATTGTTTGTTGGTTCTCATTACAAACTTCAATTCTTCCCTGACTTGTGATAACACCCTCGAGTTTTAATGGAAAGCATTTGATTATGCTGTCCTCACTTGGTTGCTATATAGTCTTGAACCATCTATTGCATTACCTATCATGTTCCTCATGTCTACACCCTATATTCTGAAGTCTTTACTCTTTAACAATATGACTTATATATTTAGGTATACTACAATACTTTGGAAGGAAAGTGGGATGAACTTCTCCATTACACACCATTTTACTACTCATCCAACCGACTGACAAAAATTGAATAAGGAATTTTTCAATGCTAAATTTCTCTTTAGATTTCATCAATCCCCCAACATGTTCAATCTCAGATGATAGTTAACTATATATCATTCCTAACACTGCTAATGCTCTCTGCAGCATTCTTTAGGTCACTTAAGCCTGTGGATCAATCTCATTCATTTTCTAACTAATATGCCCTTGCAATGGGGCATCGTAGTGGTCAAGGTTGATGGTGGTCATGACCATAAGGAAAAATCCTTTTCCTCTTATTCTTATTGTGGCCACACGGACGAGGGAAAAGCCTATTCCTCTTACCTTCATTGCGGCCACACCAATCAACCTTTAGAATGATGTTAATACAAGTTTGGTTATCCCTCAGCAGCTCAGCATGCCTCTAGCACACTCTGACGACCTTTGGCGCTCTAATCATTGCCATCTCTTTTAGATCAACCATTGTCTTGAGATGATTATGATCACCTTATTTAGTACTTTCAAACATTTGTGTTTGCTTCATATGTCATGCCACTTCTAAGTATATTATGGTTGCTTCTCTTTGGTTGTTATGGATTCTAAACTCTCATGCCCTTCACATATGATACGTAATACCCAACAACAACATCAAGCCTTTATCTCACTATGTGGGGTCGGCTACATGAATCTTTTTTCTCCATTATGTCGTTAAGAGTCAAATTCTCAATTAAACCTAATAAAAAAGATCATTTCTAATACATAATAACCAACAACTTCATGACATGATACGAAATAACCACTTATTTCTTTTTCCTATCTTTACATTTATTGTATCTCACCTATCATTGGGTCTAGCAAAAACTTTGTATCGCTCTAAAAGAGCTCATCTCTTCAAGATGTATTATATATTCCCAAATTTCTATAAATTTAATTTCAAATTTACTATCTTATCTTCACAACTGCTTTTAGCCTTCTAGCATTACCATTGTGCATTTCAAGATCTCAGTATAAAGAAAATAATTGATGGAGGCATTGAAGCTAATAGAATCTAATCTAACCCCTAATATCATCTGAGTTTTCTTTTACCATCATTCTATACCAGTGGCATTATAGTTTGGGTCATCCTTTACCATCACTATTCTTAGAGTTTGTTCCTCTCTTACACCCTTTTTAAATTCAAGTCTTTCCCTCTTTTAAATCAAGTCCTAGTAATGTCCCTTATGAGTTATTCCATTCAGATATTTGGGGTTTGAGTCGTATCATTATTCTCCTAGATTTAAATCCTTTGTTACTTTGGTTCACAATCATTCTCCTATCACCTGGGTCTATTAAATTAAGTGTCAAACTCAAGTTCTATTTGCATTTTAGACATATTAGGAAATCATAAATCATTTTGCTACTATAATTAACATTTACATGCTAATATTCCCTTGGCATTTATAAATCATTCATTAGAACTTATTGCTAACCCCTACATCAAAATGCATGAGAGAAAGAGGCGAAAAAGGCGATTCAAGCAGCGCGCGTAAACGCAGCACATTACTTGAAGGGCCAAATGACTTCCGATTGTCGAACGGACTGCGCCGTTGCAATCAGAACATCGAATTCACCTAAGTGGAACCCCTCGCAGTCAAATTGGACGAGATTGATCAAAAGGGATGACCGTCACCTTAAATTGACTTGCGGCGTTGCCCAAACAATATCCGACCGCAAAAACGGACTACGCCATTGCATTAGGAACGTCAGCAACACCCAAAATCAACAATAATTTTGCCCAATGGAAATTCCGCGTGCAAATTTGAGCAAATTTCTAGACAATTGCACGTAAATCAAGGAAATCGCACACGGATTGAGGCAATTTTTGTTAATTGACTTGTTGCTTTCGTTTTAAATTAATAATATTATTAATTTAATAAAGAATCAAAATTAGATTAATTCAAATCAGCGTTAAACTCACCTTGTATCTCGTCAAAATCAAACCTCTGTGCAAAATCCGATGTCTTTGTGCAAAATCCCCATAAATCCCGCTGATTGCCTCTATGGACTTCACTGTTGTTGTTAAAACAAAGCAAAGCTAAAACTTCGCCCTTCTTCGGTTCCTTTCATGAGAACGTCTGATCAAAAAAGTCTCCATGACAGATTTCGCCAAATCTCTTCCCATCGACCTATGCTGATACGCGACACCCAGAACCATTCGACCACAGCATCCAATCCTCCAATCCCGTCTTCTTTTACTGACTGAGCTCCACCTGATCGATTGAAAGTTGAAACCCGACCGGACCCTATACTCTTGTGCTGACTGACATCAAAACCAATGCTAGAAAACCTCTGACGAGCCTTCCGAATACAAGCGAACAACACTGCAAAATCCCTCTCTATACCGCAAACCTCCACCTCATACACGCTTAACCGATCGCGCTTGACCCCCAGTCGTCCAACTTGAGCCGCACACTTGACTTCTCCCGACAGCAACTTTCCTCCTCACCCTTAGGAAACGATAGCTGCACCTTCCCTGTTCAGAGAGCCCTTCCAGCCACTCTGCACTTCCAACTTCTCTGCTTCCACAGGACCAAGCTCCCACTCATTTAAAATAACTTCGTTCCTTCACTTAACCTTCCAAAAATCTGATTATTCCTACCCCACTACAATCCAACAACAACCATCACAAGCCTCCAAACTCTATACCAACAGCAGGTAGAGTTGTACTTCATCAATTTTTTTGGGACGTTCAGGGGATTCGAGCCCAAATGAGAGGAGGAATTGCTTCCGTCCACCGTACGGCCGCAGACCGATCTCCTTCATCACTTTTGACGTGACCCTTTTTCTTCCAAAACATCTCCAGCGGCAAACCAAACAGCCCTTTCTTTATCAATCAACACACAGTAAACTTTTTTTTTTAGCTTATCTGTCTACTTTAATTTTTATTATATTTATTTCACTTCATTTCATTATATTCCATTTCATTTATTTTACTTCTATTATTGATTACTGTTATTTTGTAGTAACATATATTTGCATAATAAAATGTGTGTATATATATATATATATATGCATTAAAAAAAAGAGAGGAGAAAAAAAAATGAGAAATAAAATACACAATATACGGTCAAGTGAACATGAACAATTAACAGGGGATTATATTTGGACTTGAACTCGAACGGATAACAGGGAACCAAACTACAATGCAATAAATACACAATGAAATTAAAATGTAAAATCCTTAATGATAATTCAAAGCATTCAAGTGAACATCAATGAATAGCCAGAAGGCTCATGGCAAATAAAAACCCCAATGTCACTTACTTGTAAGCAATGATGTGAAACACCTCACTCATGAACAACAATCAACATGAACATGTATAATTTGATTAAGCAAAAGCAGACAGACATTGCATGCCATATAAAGATGGATGATTGATTATGATGCATGTATCAATCACTCAAACAAACATATTGTCCTCCTACAAATAAAAGAGATTAATGCGTGTAATAATGTGCTTGCAAGCAAACATCAATAGATGACAATCAAATTGAATGAAGGGGAATACATAATCTAAGTGCAAGCGATTCATCAATTATAGATGCCATACTTATGAGTAAAGCGTAAAAGATGTGCAAAAAAATGTAGCACGTCTACGAATAATAGTCTATTACATCACATGTTCATCAGCAAGATATGAAGATGGTGATTGACATGCAACGAAAGGCCGATGATGCTTGCTATGACCTGCCCATAAGTAGTGTTATAAGGATAAAGGGCGGGACAACAAGTTGTTCACAAGTGATTATAGAAACTTGCCATAACTCACTTATGAAAGATGATGAATAGCAAGTAGTAAACACTGGCTCATTCCTATAATCAGCAATAAATAAGTTCCTAGCAAATGTGTTGATTCCCTGCAAGCAACAACAATAGATATGTTGTGATTATGATGGAACCCCTGTGAATACAGGCACCCACGGCGTATCATCAAAGGGCAAAG